ATGAATATGAATACGGTATATACACCAAATAACATTTTTTACAATTTTTGTCTGTCTGTCTGTTTGTTCCGGCTAATCTCTGAAGTGGCTGGACCGATTTTGACGGGATTTTTTTGGCAGGTAGCTGATGTAATATGGAGTAACTTAGGTGTTTTTTTATTTTAGAAAAAATAAAGTCAATTTCTACGCGGACGAAGTCGCGTGTGTAATAAATAAAATTCATAATTCAAAATATCACAATATGGAATATTCTAGAACTGCAATCTGGAAAGTTCTAGAACGGGTGCGGTGCGGCGTGCCGCGGTATCGATCGCTGTGGCAGACACAAGTTGTAGGTCGTTCGTTGACGCCATACATACATAATCGTAGTATAGATATAGCCGCAGCTCGTCGCGTCGACCGGAGAGCGGGAACGAAACGTCTAGAACATTCTGGAAGCTTCGGTCTTACAAATATGGAAATTGTAATGAAATCAACACTAAATATGTATTTTCTTTAGTCGTAATACTTCAACAAGGCCTTCTCAATACTAGATACCGCCTTATTGTAACGATACATGTGTCTTTTGTTATATTGTTTGTGCTTCTTCTTTACTGTACGTTGCAAATAAAGTATATTCTATCTATCTATCTATAGATATAGCCGCAGCCGGAGAGCGGGAACGAAACGTCTAGAACTTTTTTTTCTTCTTTTTTTCACCTATGAAATACAAAATGTAGTCTTTTTGAACCAAACAATGTTGCTCACTTTAGTGATATACCTATATACCTTTTATACATACAGTATTTCCCTTGAACCTGTAGTATATAGAACAAACGATATGTAACAGTAGTAGAGCCTGTAATAGTAGTAATTCCGCTGATTGGTATAATACATAGACATTTTTTTGTAATCTATACATATAAAAAAATTGTAGTGTCTGTTTGTAATATTGAAATAACCGTTTTTTACTACATGCATATGAATATAAATACGGTACATACACCAAAATAACATTTTTTACAAAATTTGTCTGTCTGTCTGTTTGTTCCGGCTAATCTCTGAAATGGCTGGACAGATTTTGACGGGACTTTTTTTAGCAGGTAGCTGATGTAATAAGAAGTAACTGAGGCTGCTTTTTATGTAGAAAATTTTTTTAAAGTTAAATTCCACGCGAACGAAGTCGCGGGTTCAGCTAGTAGATAATATTTATGATTTATAACTTTTTACCTATATAAGACAAGGTAATTTGCGATAAGATAAATTATATAACTTGTTGTTGAAATATTTTAATAGTATTTGATTTCCTAAAGCAGATAGTAAATCAGTTCGATGAATTAAAACAATTATTTATCCAAATAAAGACTACCTATAAAAAAATTGATTTTCTTGCCAGTTCTCAATTGAAACTACGTACTGAACTGGAAAATATACAAAAAAACTTGACACTCGTAAGCGGCTAAAATGTCCTACATGAATAAAATTATTTTTGATTTAATTTCATTGACTACGCAACGCACACGTAACGCCCCTAGTATTTCAGGCTTCAGTACGCTACGGTAACCAATGGGCCGTATGCTTGTTTGCCAACGTCGTAATATAAAAAAAAACCTAATTACTACTAATTTTTATAGCGCTCAATTGGTCATACGGACAAGATTTGGAGCTGAACATAACCGTAATTTATATTGCAGGTTACTATACTCGACATTTTTTTTAAAGTATGATTTTTTTATTTTATAATATGCAACTGAACTAATCGAAACAATAAGTAATATGTTTAAAACAGATAAACATTAATTATAAAAACACACCACAGATCAAAAAAATATATACTCCTTCTTTGTTCTGTTAAAGCGTATAGACTAAAAACTTGTCGCCACAAAGGACAGATATTAGTATAGAAAAAGAAAAAAAAGTCATTTATATTTCGCGCCAAAATATCATCATATTTATTGCGTAATTTTCGCAAATATTTTGATACAAAAAGGCGGTCTTATCTCTAAACGCAAACTTATATAGACGTAGATAGTCTTGTCTGTCAGTTCCTGTATATAACAAAAAGGAAAATATTATTTTGAGACCTTAATTAAGACCTTTTTGTAGAAAGGAGATTTCCAGGGCCGTAAAATACTTAATAAAAAAAGGCCATTTTGTACTCAAGTTTTTGCGCGCAACAAAGATGAACTTTAGATGAATATATATGGCATGGTGCACCTGTCTTCGCTAACGGTATACGCTGGCTAGCCAGCACCTGTAGGGGTTTATATAATAAGAATTAAGTTTGGTATGCCAGCCAGTGGTTAGGTAACCAAGGGCCCTGGGGCAAATCAAAAAGTGGGGCACATATCGCTATCCGTCAACATGACAACTCCCTGGAATTTGGTATTCCAGGGAATTCCAAAGGCATAACTTTCGAACTTCTCTCAACTGAGTTGCCGTAAGTCGGGTTGCAGTCTGGAGAAATTTTAAATGTTCAGTTCGATCGAGATTTTCTGGTAAGGGTTTGAGGGCCCCCTGGGCTTGATGGCCCTGGGGCGCTGCCCCGTCTAGCCCCTAGGTATCTACGCCACTGATGTCAGTATAATCACAGATAAGTGAATTACATAAACGTGACTAAACTTAATTCAGGCACAGATAATATAATATTACATAATTCAGGGGACTGCGTAGAGGTCGACCTGATAATCTGACAGAAATCGGATTGAAACAGACTGCAATATATAACTTTTATATGTACTTTTGTGTAGGTTACAAATCATTATCTTATTATTAATATTATAAACGCGAAAGTTTGTATGGATCCATCCATGTTTGATCTGAAAGGATTTTGATGAAACTTTACAGTAATAGGTATAGCTTATTAATTAGAATACCATATAGGCTATAAATTTCATGCGGGTGAAACCGCGAGCAGAGCTAGTTAATAATAAATGTATATTAATTTAATTATGTATAGGTTCTAATATTTTAAAAGAGGTAGCTCGCGAGTTTGTGAGGTAAGAAATTTAGTGACTTTTGTCCCAACCAGTCCATTGTTGTAGGAGATTATCTCTGGATCTACTGAACCGACTTTTTAAATTCTTTTACCTATAGAAAGCCATGTTAATTCTGAATTTCCTAGAGTATATATTAAACCGAAAAATGAAAACCCTTTTTCGTGGTAGTCGGATTTGTATTTAATAAGCAAATCATTGCATTCACTTGACATCAATAAAAAAAAATATAAAAAAAAGGAAAAATTATATCATAGACACAGATGTAATAAAAGATCTCAACTAATTTCCAATTATTTTTATTTATACTATAAATAAAACAAATAATATCTACATTAAATTAAAATTGTCACTGCATGGTCCATAATGCGGTACTTTACGGTTCTCAATAGGTATCACTAGATGGCGTTGTATGAAAAAAATATTTTTAATGCTATCCAAAAAGCTTTGTTATATTTTGGTAGCAAACTTCGAAACTAGTACATAGGTAAACTTTCTATTCCATTATTGGTGCTATTCTAGATGAATACTGTCTGCCTAAGTGATTCAGATTACTGTAGTTATTTAGTAAGAAATGATTAATCTCATGAATTCGGCATGATGAATCACTACCTCAATATTACCATTCTTGTACTGCTTTGTTTCAAATATTATAAATATGTAACTCCAATGTTAATACTCTTGGTATTAACATCGCATACAGCTATGACGCACTCTTTATTATTGTGGATCTGTGGCGCATTACATTTTGCGCGGAATAATAGGTTTTTTCTGCAGACATACTAATTCGTTGAGCTCTTCGTTTTTAATTGTTTTACACTATTCTACATAACTTTATACATCCATAGTGTTTTTTAGGTATGATATTGGAATGATGCACCCGCCAGCGCTGGTGGTTTACGCTGACGGGGCACCAGTGGAAGATGATAAAATGACAATGAGGTTCGGTCAGTTAGTCTATCTTGACAAATTCTACAAGAATTTATCACGATGGTTTCATAGGGGAATTGCGTAGAGGTCAACCTGACATGGTGCATTGTTAGCAATAGAATAGTCCACATTATTAACAATCCCCTTCCCTCCTAAATCTTTAGACTTTTATAATAATCAACTACCTATATACAGAATAACAAAATGGAGATGGACTGGGCACATGATTCGAAGCAAACCTGAAAAATGGAGTACTTGTGTAACTGAATGGTATCCAAGGGAAACAAAAAGAAAAATAGGTAGACCACAGAGACGCTGGGAGGATGAAATCAAGCTGACAGCAGGCCCCTACTGGAGAAGAGCAGCCCAAAATAGAGTACACTGGAAGGAATTAGAATAGTAAAAATATATATATAATAATAATAAATTTATAGTATAATATAATAATATGAATGAACAGGAATGTAGAAAAAAAATGTATAATAGTACAGAAATAAAGGTTTCTTTATCTTTTATATACAGAATAACAAGACTATAATATACTGCCCCTACTTCCATCCAGTATTAATATTACAAATTATTCACATAGTCTATAAAAATTAAAAGGTTATATGAATAACTACATTAAGTATCATGGTATAAAGGTAAATATAATAAATATTTTATTTGGTTCTAATTACAGTGGTGACATTGCAGATATATATAATGTAGGTCATTTATTTGATTAGATAAGTCATTGTACTACAAAGATATGAGTAAGTAGTAGGGATGGAAAATAATTTATAATTATACTACACAATATTGATTCATAAAATTTTAATTAACTAAATGGTTTAAAAAACAATAAAGTACAAATTAATGACAAAATCTTAGACTGTCATATACATAGGCATGAAATTTAAATGATAAGACAAAATTAAAGTTCTATATTAATAGCACTATATTTGTAATGGAATTATATGTTCAATAATAAAATAATCATTTAGACTAACAAATACCTAGATATGGGCATGTAATTAAAATGACCTACTTAAGACTTCTTGGGTGGCTTATATTAATAGCATTATTTTTGGAATGGTAAATAAAAGAAATAAATAATTTATTAACATTACCATTTATTTTTAATAATGGAATTTTTTGAACTAAATCAGTCTTTGGCTGTACACCAGTGCACAAAACATCACCATTACATACACAACTTAATTATAGGCGGCTAAGAGATTTAATCAACTTCCTCCATGCGTGACGCATCATCAGCATCACCTTCGAGCGGGGGCACGTCACCAGCGCTCGACTCCTCGACCTGGATAGGCTCATCCTCATCGATACCAAGACCGAGCTTGATCATACGGTAAATGCGGGAAGCGTGGACCTGGGGCTCGTCAAGAGTGAAGCCAGATGAGAGTAAAGCAGTTTCGTATAACAGGATAACAAGGTCTTTCACTGCCTTATCATTCTTGTCAGCCTCTGCCTTCTGCCGCAGTGTCTCGACAATGGAGTGGTCAGGGTTGATCTCGAGGTGCTTCTTGGCAGCCATGTAGCCCATGGTAGAGGTGTCACGGAGAGCCTGAGCTTTCATGATACGCTCCATGTTTGCTGACCAACCATATTGAGCTGTCACAATGCAGCATGGCGACTCTACAAGTCGGTTGGAAACAACCACCTTCTCCACTTTGTTGTCGAGAATGTTCTTCATTACTTTGCAGAGACCCTCGAACTTGGCCTTGTCTTCCTCACGCTTCTTCTTCTCCTCTTCATCCTCAGGGAGCTCTAGACCCTCCTTGGTGACGGAAACAAGTGACTTTCCATCATACTCCCTCATTTGTTGTACTACATACTCATCGATAGGCTCAGTCATGTAGACTACTTCATAGCCTCGCTTCTTGACCCTCTCCACAAATGAGGAGTTGGCTACCTGGTCACGGTTCTCACCGGTGATGTAATAAATGTGTTTCTGGTTATCCTTCATGCGGGATACATACTCTTTGAGGGAGCATGCCTCATCACCAGATGCAGATGTGTGGTAACGCAGCAAGTCGGCCAACTTGGACCTGTTCTGTGAATCTTCATGGATACCAAGTTTCAAGTTCTTGCTGAATTGTTCATAATATTTCTTGTAGTTCTCTTTGTCCTCAGCCAATTCCTCAAAGAGTTCGATACATTTCTTTACTAAATTCTTTCTGATTACTTTAAGGATTTTGTTCTGTTGGAGCATCTCACGGGAAATGTTCAGAGGCAAGTCCTCACTGTCGACCACACCTCTGATGAAGTTCAGGTACTCGGGGATGAGGTCCTCGCAGTTATCCATAATGAATACCCTGCGGACATACAATTTAATGTTGTTCTTACGCTTCTTATTTTCAAAGAGGTCGAATGGAGCTCTGCGTGGCACGAAGAGGAGGGCACGGAACTCGAGCTGGCCTTCAACAGAGAAGTGCTTGACGGCCAGATGATCCTCCCAGTCGTTGGTGAGGGACTTGTAGAAGTCACCGTACTCCTCCTGGGTGATGTCATCGGCATTTCTCGTCCAGATGGGCTTTGTTTTGTTCAGCTCCTCATCCTCACTGTACTTTTCCTTAATAGTTTTCTTCTTCTTCTTGTCTTTCTTGTCCTCCTCATCATCTTCTCCCACATCCTCGATCTTAGGCTTGTCTTCTTCGCCTTCCTCTTTTTTCTCCTCCTCGGCTTCATCATCAGACAGCTCCTTTTCGCGCTCCTTCTCGACAACAAGTTTGATAGGATAACCAATGAATTGGGAATGTTTCTTTACAATTTCCTTAATTTTGTGCTCCTCCAAGTATTCAGCTAAATCTTCTTTAATGTGCAGTACAATCTTTGTACCACGCCCCAGGGGCTCCGCTTGGTCGGCCCTCACGGTGAACGAGCCACCCGCGGAGGATTCCCACATGTATTGTTCATCGTCATTGTGCTTTGAGTGGACCGTGACGCGGTCGGCGACTAAATAGCAGGAGTAGAAACCTACACCGAACTGACCGATCATACTGATGTCAGCGCCGGCCTGCAGCGCCTCCATGAACGCCTTGGTGCCAGATTTAGCGATGGTACCCAAGTTGTTCACCAAATCGGCTTTAGTCATGCCAATACCTGTGTCGATGATGGTCAGCGTGCCTTCGCTCTTGTTGGGAATGATCTTGATGTATAATTCCTTGCCGCTCTCCAGTTTCGACGGGTCCGTGAGTGATTCATACCGGATCTTGTCCAAAGCGTCTGACGAGTTGGAAATTATCTCACGGAGGAAGATCTCTTTGTTGGAATAGAATGTGTTGATGATCAATGACATGAGCTGGGCGATCTCCGCCTGAAAGGCGAAGGTCTCCACCTCGGCTTGAGTCTGCATTTGTTCAGGCATTTTGATTTCACAATGTAATACTGGTTAAAGGAATATATTCACCGTTTTATGACTAGCGTGGTTTACTTAGCACGTGTTTTATACCGCTGTAATACAGCGAATGGTTCACTCAGTTTATTTCAAATGACGCCGTCGCGTAGGGTTAGATCGTTTATATAGATTCGTCGCCCGGCGACATCTCTGAGCCGATAGAAGCTTCGCGAATTTGGCGCGTTCTTTCCAGAGATAGACAAACGTTGGCCAATATAATGTAAAATAATTAGTTTCGTCATATCAATTAAACGCTGTACCTAATTATTATTTAAAAATTTACTTTATGTGTAATTGAATATAATACTCTACAGAAAAATTACAAAATATGAAAATATGAAAAATTACAAAATATCCTTGCACAGCCTAATTGTAACCGGTTCATGTCTTATAATTTTGGAGGTTTGACATGCTATAATATAAATAAATATTAGTAATACATATTCCTAAAACAATCTATAGGATCTCAGTACAGGCTTTATATCTGTGATAGAGATTAATTAATTTCATAAGTAAGTTGCTTTATTTATATCTGGGTTACATATGTAGGTACTCGTGAAAATCAATAAATTAAAGAAAGGCCAAATTTTGCTAAATAATGGATTTAATAGCGACAAAGACCATCTTTAAAATACTTTTTGTCGCGAACATACAAAACAAAAACTCCCACTAATGCTCCTTTTAGAAGTCGGGTAATAGGGAGAACATTTATTTTATTTTAATATAAAAACATTCTTTATTTTTCTTACATCAATATCGTCACATAGTTTCAAGATCAGAGAAGAACAAAATAAGAAGAGAGATAAATAAAACGCAGAAAAGGGCATGGACAACGGCATAATTAAAAAAAGGTATTGTATCTATTAAGACTAGGTATGTAGGTTGTAGTAATATAAAATAAATTATTATATATACTAGCATACTACGGGGTATATAATATAAAACAAAAAAAAAATTCTACATCAGTTTTTAAGAAATTTAGCACAAATTCTTGTAATACGTAATGCAATATAACAAAGGTTATAAAAATTACCATTACAAGATACTATAGGTTAATTCTACACTTTAACTTGAAATTTAACAAAAGAATAACAGAAAAATGTTTGCAATACCATCTTGTAAAACGCAATGTTGCCACTTAACACCAGGTGTCGCTACTATCGAATAAAGCGGTCTCGAATGTTCCAGAACATTCGAGAAACGTCTACGATCTTTATTTTAAATACATTAATTAGTTTAAAGGGATGATTAATACCATTTGAATCGATTATTAAATATTAAAAACATCCAAATAGCAGCAAAATTATGTGCATTTCATTCATAAAATTATATTTCTCGTAAAAAAATAATATTAAACTAGAATGTTCTACTCGTATCCGGTTTCTTGTTCTGCTATTCACCATTAGAGGCGCTAGTTGTATCCGGTTATGCATTTTAAAGTTCTAGATTAATCTACAGTAGAAAATTTAAATCAATTAACAGCGTATTTGCGGAAACTGAAATAATTGATAAATATATTGTTAACACATCTTTTTGTATTAATTTAAACATGTCAAAAAGAGTTGGAACGTTCATCGTCGTCACAAAAAATATTATGTGGTATTTATTAAATTCGGAAAATAAATATATGATTTTTTTTTATTACATTGACAATTAGAATAATATCGTAATAAAGTATACTGCCTCACGTACCTGAAATACTTTGTAGGTAAACTAGTTACCCACACCGGCTTCGTACTGGTGTAAATCTATTTATTTATGGTTAATGTGTTATAAATATAAATCTTCCTCTTGAATCACTATCTATTGCTAAAAAATGCATTATAATCCGTTTTGTAGTTTAAGAGATCTAAGCGAACATACAGCGGAAGCATCTTTGTTTTGTACTAAATAAAGATGGTAGGTATATATCTTACTATCTTCATCCAATTTTACTAAGATTACAAATATGATATGCAGATAAATATATGTAGAAATATTCACATACAAAGTTATGTATTTGTAGGTACACGTATGAAAATGTTATAGAAATTTCTCGAATTATTGTAAATTAATTTATAATTGTGTCATGTTGTATGATTAACGTTGTTTTTGTTGCTAAGCGTTATTGATAAAAAAAGTTAAAATGATAAAATGTTTCACGCGACAACGTGGGATAGACTATTAGAATTAGACTAACCAATGCTAAAACCACAGATAACATTACATATAAAACGTACCTAGATAAGTACCTAAAATTTATTTCTCAATAATTGTACCAAATATGTAGGTAGGTACACTAAACTTATTATACCCAGACTATATAAAAAAATCGACCACTATTTTTATACTTTATACGCTATATAAAAGCTGTGAAAAATTGCTCTGGGTAGGTTTATACTTAGTCTACCTGGGTACCTAGATCTATGTATACTTGGCACAATTTTTGAAATAGGATGATAATGCTGGCGGGATGACAGAGCACAAGTTTATTAGAAATTAACCTTAAAATTAAATTTATTATATTTAACATTGCTAGCAATGGGGTCATTGGTCTACATTACTGATATTACTAACAATTTCAACCCTGTCTATTGTTAGAACAATAACCTATATATAACCACGTGTATTTGTAGGTTAAAAATATCTAATATATTTTTCTGCATATATTCTTATATGTATAAGTAAATAATTAAAACCGGTGTTCTTATGCATTTAAACGGTTAAATTGTCAAATTATTATGAAAAATATTATAATTACATTCCTCACAAAAATCAATACCTAGGAAATATTTAAAGCTTAGTAGTTTCTCTATTCATTGCTAGATGGCGTGCTATAGAGTTTTACAAGCACAGGTTTCACGAAATTTCGAGACATTGCTAGTCCATCTTGCTTTTGGATAAAAGCAGTGTGGCGCGGTGCTCGCTGTTAGTACTTGAATTGGAAATCGTACGTACGTTCGTACAGTAATTATTCGCAGTGCAATTTTTCCCACGATAAATACAACAATCAACAATTACAATGTCATTACTACCATATCTCTTTGATGAATATCGCCCACACCGTATACAAGACCAACTTTTTGGCTTAGATTTATCTCCGAACGACTTTTTAACTGACATTTTCGACAGACCAACGCTCCAGATTCGGAAATACATACGTCCATGGCGAAACTTGGCTCTGGCGGCACGGGATCTTGGTTCCACCATTAAATCTGATAAGGACAAGTTTCAAATAAATCTGGACGTCCAACACTTCGCCCCTGAAGAGATATCTGTGAAGACGGCCGATGGATTCGTGGTTATTGAAGGGAAACATGAAGAAAAGAAAGACGACCACGGTTTTGTGTCAAGGCAGTTCACCCGCCGGTACGCTTTGCCTGATGATTGCAATCCAGAGACTGTTGAATCCAAGCTTTCTTCTGATGGAGTTCTGACTGTTACTGCACCCTTACTTACAAAGGGTGGTAAGGATGAGAGATCAGTACCCATTACACATACAGGACCCGTCAGAAGGAAGGTAGCTGATGCTGTGACCAACGAAGCCAATGGGGAAGCGGCAGAGGAAGAAATTAAATCTCCACAAAAGAAGAAAAGACGTTAATAGTTTAATTAGGATAAGCACTTCATATTGAGACTGATTTTGTATTACTTATTAGTAAATAATAATTTGTTATAGATATTTGTGTTGTTTCATTTGTTTGGCACGCGTTAGTACCTTGATTTGATGATGTTGATGCAATAATTTCTTAAATTGTCCCATCGTTGATGATGCGGGCCTAAGGTAGGCCTAGGTACAACTCTAAAACATGAAAGCCGCGCGTGGTTCATTTTTAAGTAAGAGACCAAACAATATTGAGTTTGTAAAATAGTCAATAAGAAATCTTAGCGTTTAGATACATTAGACATATATACGCTTGATAGTTTCAAAATAAGGAATGAAAACGTAATTAATATAGTCTCATGTCTGAAAGGGTTAAATATTAAATTTAAAGATTTAAAATTAGGTATTAAACATTTAGATTACTATAATATGGGTAGTGCCGAGGTATATTTTACTAGAGGTGGCCTTTTTCCAAAGACGTCTGCGTGTGAACTTCAGCCTCGCCTTTTCAGCAAAGCAGCTACTTTGTAAGTTGTGTTACCGTAGGAGAGTGAGGACGGTAGTGGAAGCAACAGTAGCTACTATACGCTGCAAGCGGTCGGTACGATATGGCAATGGAATTTTAGGATATGAAGTCACCACAAATTAGTCACCGGCTCCTATGATAACATGATTACTGTACGGCTATTCGTCTATATAGGAGATTTTATATAGATCTATTTACCATCAGATATGCCTTCGACTTTGTCCGCTTCTCGAATCACATAAAAAACAGTAAATAAAATTTCGTATACATTAAATATATCAAAAGTCAATAATGCTATTTAATACTTCAAACGGCCAGTAAAAAGCATGCACCTAATATGACTGCTTTATCTCCCACATCAATATCAACAGGGAACGTGATCCTGAAGTTCTTAACATCCAGAACCATCCATTTCGTCCCGATCCCAATCACTTCATCCCGCGACGATATATCATAGACAAAATGGAAGAAACCTTTAGCTTTTATCTTCACAACCACTTCGCCATGTTTATTTTTGATTTGGAAGTTCCTGCAAGTTGTTTGTTCCACGGAACCCACGTAATATCCTGGAGGGGCCCACACTACAATTCTGTTCAGACATAACCTAAAAGGCCTTTTCACTTGTATCACCTCGTTACCGTAATAATTAAAGATTTTCAAGTCAAACCTTCTGCAGTGTTTATTTTTTACCGCCAAAAACACCTTCTGTCCGAGTTTATTGAACACGGTGTAACTAGTGTGATTCTTGCCTATCACATTGTGTAAAGAATCAACATTTTCAGCTACAATAAATTCGTCTAATGGACAGATGTAGGCTAATCCGGGGTATTCTATATGTATGTTAGGACATGGCATCCACATTGTAGTTTCTCTATGTTACTCTTTAGGATTTTCATTTAAGGTTGTCTTAATTTTGATTTGAGGTTATCTGATTCATTGTTGACTCATTTTTGTAGAGACCGTGTTTATTTTCCATTTGACTTATTCATTCTCCTCAACGAGAAAGAGAACTAATAATTGTTTATTATTTCTTTTTTGAATGGTAATTTAAAAAAAAACGGAAATAGTAATTTTTAATTGTACGCAACTGATTCGTTTGATGGTCAATAGCTTGACAGTTATCTGTATTACACAAAATAAAAGGATTTTTAAGATAGGTTTGTTGGTGATTAATTGTTAAGAAATGTCGTTTCCTTAATTTTGTGTTGGCAACAATTTTGATGGATTCATAAATAAAAGAAAAGTATAATTCGTTCTGTTGTCGGTCTTGTACAAGTAATGCATTGTATGCATTATGTATATTTAATAGGGTGCGAAATATATATTTTGCTAGTAATTAGTTTTTTCATAATTTGATAATGAAGTGTTCTATTAGATAGTTTTGTTAACAGCACGATCTATTGTCATAGGTATATAATATTTTGAGTAGTAGCTTTCAATATAATTCTACTGTCTGGTAGATGGCGCTATTTCAATATATCAATATGCTTTGTTGCAGGTTTTTCTTATCGTACATAAGACACAAGATGGCGCTGTTACCAATTTAATTTTAATATGCCATTTTTAGTGACAAGAAAGATAATTTCAGAAATGGACCATAAGATTTGCGTTACACCGTGATTGCAATTTTTTTTTATTATATTCAATAACAGTTTTACCTTTAAGATGACTTAAAATGCCTACAAGCTTCTAGAATGTTGCTGTTTTATCTGTTACTTTTTTCTTCTTTCTCCTATATAATTTATACAAAACAGCACTAGAGAATCTATTCCTTTTATATAATTTTCAATCATTAAGCATTTTAATAAAGTACTTTTGATGTTTAATACATACAGAGCAGTGATTCAAACCGTACAAGAATCCTCTTACATTGGTTTTGCCGTTCATAAACATCTTCATTCTCGTACACTGGTACAAGATTTTGATCTACAAATCGGTCAAAATACTATTAAATACTTTGTTAGGGAGTCAAATAACGAGATATCTGGTTCTACAGTAATGTATTTATATGTGTATATAGTGTATATAGATTAGAAATAAGTATTAAGATAAGCGCTTTTGCTGCAGACAAACTGCTGAGTTTTGCGGCTTATTGTTTATATTTTATTCTGTATAAATTTGTGTGTAAATAAATTAAAAAAAAATCATTGAGTTCTTCATTCGAGGCTTAATGTTTCATGGTTAGTACACCATATAGGTACAAACTACAATTGTTTTACGACATATATATTATATATATATATATATGTCGCATCATCATCATCATCATCATTATATATATTAATATTGTATCTATAGAACATTGATCTAAACAATTGAGATCCATCCGTTTAGTTCGCAGCTCTCTTGAGAGAGTTCTCTTCAGTTTAGTTCGTTCTTTCCTTATGATTAAGGGGGTAAAATAAAATAGGGCATGAAAATTTGAATGTATTTCGTCATTTTTCAAATTAGAACATTATTTTATCTGTGCTAGAACGATGAAACTTTTTTCTTTGGTTTTTTTTTGGGTAAGATAATTGTATATCTTGTCTTTATGTCCTGAAGATCACTAGTTCACAGGAACAAAGTCGCGGACACAGCTAGTAATTCAATAAATTAACTAAAGAGCGTTTTTTTATGGATGATAATGAAATGGTGCACCCGCCTGCGCTAACAGTTTATGCTGGCGGGGCACCAGTGGTGGATGATAATACGAACATGAGGTCAGGTCAGTTAACCGATACAAATTCACCAGGAATTTACACGATGGCCAACCTGACATGGTACATTGCTAGTAATGGGGTCGTGAGTCCACATTACTCACAATTCCCTTCCCCGAACTAAAGAGCGATAGATCTGCGAACTAATTCTTTCGCGGTCTACACAGGCCTATTCGTAAGACCGTAAGCCATACATTCGGGTTATTGTGATCTATTTGGATGACACAATGCTGTGACGGCTAATCAAACAGACTGAAGGGTTCTAATAGCTATAAATCCTTGGCCTATAATAATAGATGGAGTATGGAACATAGAAAAGTCAAGGAAAATTACCCTCCTTGAGACACGAGCGCAAAATATAGTATTATCTGATTTATACTTTAGATTACCTTTTGTTTGAGATATTGTTTGGAATAAAAAAAAATACTCTGATTTTTATATCCCAGGATAGCACAAACAGCGCCATCTAGCCTCAAGTTAAGTAGAGCTTGTGTCATGGCTATTTGTTGACTTATTTATATATGTTGCGCCAAGACTGGTCACATCATGGTTGAAGTAAAAAAAATCTTGGACTATTTATTTAACAGATAAAAACGTAGTTACTTTAGTATTTATTTACCTCCTCTCGAATAATAATAAATTCAATAGTTTTATTAATTTCATCAAAATAAATAAATACCCATTGTCTTCAACAACGATTATTTCCCGCCAAATATTCCGCTCTTATCTCTGGCATTTTTTGCTTCAATTGATCCTGATAGGAACCGAAAAGGGACTATGATTACACAGCCATGTAATAATTCTATTTATTTCGTTACTTTCATCTCAGTGACGAAGATAAAACGTCTCTCTGTCTACCCCATTTAGGATTACTGGGATAAACTTTGTATAAAGTCATCTGGGAATAATTGTATCGCCTATTTGCACATTTTCTTTCTTTTTTCTTCTAATTATATGGAATTTGCTATATAATCTGTGTTTTGTTAAAGGGTGAGATGTGGTAGTGAAATTACAAAATGAAGGTCGAGGGTTCGATTCCTCGCACGGAACAAACATTTGTATCAATGAGTATGACTTTGTCTGGGTGTTCTATATGTATAGTATGTGTATTTACAAAAATAAATGTATCTATGTATTTATATCAGTTGTCTAGTACCCATAACACAAGCTCTGCTTAGCTTGGGACTAGATGGCGTTGTGTGAATTGTTCTGAGATATTATTATATTATTATTATTATATGTATACATATACACGACTACTATAGTCGTGTATACTTAATTATTTCTAATCTATATACATATATATGTAAAACAAAATATAATATATACATCTCAGTTTCCTTATTACGAAGAAATCTTTAATTGAATTGCCTTATTGTTGTCTCCATGTAGACGTCCACACACACGTACGTAGAGACAAACACTTTCTATATGAATAGTTGTTCATATATATAGTAATAAAGTATAAATGATGAAACTAACATATAAGAAAATATAATATATTTGTTCGCATAGCTACGGCTTGAGCTATATATATTACTCACTGATGGAATATGGGATGCATAGACCCGCTTTGCATATTTTATTTTTCTACTAATTACTGTACAGTTCGATTTCCGGGTAGGCTAAAAAGTATGTTTTACTGAAATTGTTATGAAATCACTTATGTTACTGTTAGTTTAATTAGAAAAGGGTATACCAAGTTAAAAGTCTGATAGAATGCGCACGAAACTGAACCGTTTTTACCAAGAAATAAAGTTGAAATATAAATAGAAATATTGAACTTTTTATGCTAAATTGATTACATGACCACGTGTACAATTTTTTTTTAATTTGTAATTATACTGTTTACTACTATCATTACCTTCCTCTTGAATTACTCTATCTATTTAAAAAACCGCTTCAATATCAGTTGCGTAGTTTTAAAGATCTAAGCATACATAAGGAAATTGAATATTTTATGTTAGTATATTTGAAAGAGTTTTATTCAGATTAAATCAAATAACCATTGAGTGAATATATCCTTTGAATTGTTCATTATCACAAAGTAGTTTCTTTATTAGTTTGGAATTATTAGAATATTATTTTATCTTCAAATTCTCTCCATATCAGTCCCATAAATATTTCTCATTGTTACTATTAGTGTCAAATGATGATAACCTAAAAGAAGTTAGAGTAAAATTGACGGTTCTATTCCTACTCTACTATTTATTTAACTAATTTCGGTGATTAATTTAAATGCTGGTTCACAATTTCTTCTGGAGATCTACTAATATAGTGTATCTACTAATATAGTATAATAACAATGCTCTAATAAGGCAGCACTTGGCTTAACAAAAAATGTTATGTTTTGTAATGAGAGAGTCATGGCATAAGGGTTTGTTTTTGATTGTTCTCTTCAAAGGTGGTGAGAATAAAAAAAATACATTTTTATTCCAGGCTACATCTCTGGTAATGAGAACAGTGATATCAAGTCAAAAATTAACCTGAGAGACTGCAGTAGGGTTTTCCTATCAAGATAACCATCTTGGTAGGATATCTAAATATAAATGTCTTACCATCATTTAATTTGCTCTTTTTTTTTGTTTGTTCTTTATATTGTATTTTTTTACATTGCACTGAATAAAATATTTTTCTTTCATTCTTACTTTCTTGGTAGGAAGAGCAAAACACCTTATGTACTGTGAAAAATGAGCACATCAAGTGTTGCAATTACCTCGACATCGACAGTTAGTATATTAATTTAATTTGTCTATCGCACATTTTTTTAGGAAAACAATGAACTTTAGTAGTTAAAAAACAAAACCTTATTAAAGAACAAAATTTTTCCAAATCGTTAAAGCAGTTTCATTGATACAACAAATATAAGCATTTTTATTTTGAAGGAAAAAACGTACAAAGGTTTATAACATGGTTATTGTAAAAAAAACATCGAATCATATTTATTGTTCCACTCCACAGATGTTATGTTCTGTACACACATACGAAGCGCGGCGCTCCGTCTTAAGGACGACATATGAAGTAATTTTTTTTCCAACGGCCCACCATACGAAACGTCACCTTATCTGTACAACATTAAAGTCCAAATTTGCGTCGTACGCGAAATATTTTTTCCATTTCATATTTACGAATATGCCCCAAATTCCCCAAAAATTAGAACCGTGAAAGCCGG